TGAAATTTGAGCATACACATGAGAAAGAGAAATGCCATGTAGAGATGAAGGCAAAGATTGGAGTAGACCTTGACAAGGGAAGGCATACCAGCAGTGCCTGGCAACCCATGAGAAATTAGAGGGCTAAGGAGTAGAGAGACTGCTTAGCTGTTAAAGGCTAGGCTCACAACCAAAGCTTTAAGAAACTAGAGAGCTAAGACAGAACAAATTGGCTTGGTGCTCCAAAGAGGGAGCCCACCAGTTGACTTACCCTCAGAACTGTGAAACAATCTGTCTCTTTCACTCAAACCACCCAGCTTCTGGTCCTTTGTTATGGCATCTCCAGGACATAAGAATTAACTCTGTTCATTACTGTGTTTCTTCTGGGTGTTGAGGATTGACGTCAGGGTCTTAAGTCCACAGGCACCTGCTCTAGCTCTGGATTACATCCCCTGCTCATCTATTCATAAATGTTGATGAGTTCGACCACCCATCTCTCTACTGTTCACTTCCCACTTGGTTATCACCCTTAGATAACTGACCTCCCCACCCATCATTCTGCTGTAACTTTCTCATCAAAGCTCCCAGCACTAAGTCTAAAAGAAATCCCTCCCTTATCTTCCCAAGCTTTTCTGCCACAATTCACACTATTCATCTCTGTTTTCTTCCCAAAATGTTACCTTTAAAAACAGGTCTCACTGCATAGCCCAGACTAAGCCTTGAACCCAACAATACTCCTGCCTCAGTCTCTTGAGTGCCAGAATTACAGCAGCCACTATCCCTGGAAAAATGTCGTCTTTTCCTGACCAATTACAAAGCACTCATAAATTTTCTGCTTTTTTTTAAAAGTATCTTTTGGATTTTTTTCTCCTTTCATTAATCTCTTGGAAGGAAATGTTCCTTAAAGTTCTACCCATAATCCTCTTGTTACATGTGGCCCACCTTTGAGGACTCTTAGCAATTTTTTTTTCAACAGGGTTTCTTTGTGTAGCTCTGACTGTCCTAAAACTCACTGTGTAGACCAAGCTGGAACTCACAGAGATCTGCCTGCCTCTGCCTCCCGAGTGCTGGGATTAAAGGCATGTACCACCACCGCCCAGCAATTTTAGCCATTCTTACTGGTTTTGAGTATCATGTATACCTGGAGTTTCTAATTCATGCAATTCCATCTAGTTTCATGCCCCATTATGATTATTAAGAGAAGCTTTTTCCTTTAGAAGGAGCCGTTCCGCCAGCCTGGTTCTAGAGCCGCTTTCCTGCCAGCCTGGTTCTAGAGCCGTATCAGTCCCAAATAAACACACAGGAGGCTATATTAATTATGAAGCTGTTGGCCTTGCTTGTTTCTTACTGGCTAGCTTTGACTTAAGTAATTACCCTATAATTGTTAATCTAAGTATGTTTCTTACCGGAGAATAGTCCCGGGCTTCCTACCCCATGCGGTTACATGTCGACTCTCTTGTCTTTCCCCTTCCCAGAATCCTCCTCGACTCCTAGTCCCTCCTATCTAGGTTTTCTATTGGCCAGACAGTACTTTATTGACAAATGCACAGGCAAATAACAGGACTTCCCCAACATCTCCTCTTTTCTGTTTAAACAAAAGAATGGTCTTAATTTTAACATAGTCAAATTATATATGACAGAACAGTTATCAAGTAAGAACATAGTTACAATATTTTAGCAAGATTTAAAGAAAATATCATCCAGCCCATCCTTGTGAGTCCAAAGTTCTATATGTAGCTTATCTTTTATCATAACTAAGGAAAACTATAATTATAACTATCTGTCTTCAACTCCATCAAAGACCACAGAAGGATAATATATAAACACTAGGATCGACAGAGACATCTTACTGCCTGGACAGTCACCCGAAGTTCCTCTGTAACGTTGGGGCATCCATCTTCAGCCCATAGGCCACAATGTGTCTGGAACACTTCTCAGCAAAGCAGGAAATTTCAAACTGTCCATCTGCATTGGCAGTCTGTCAGTCATTTTTCTTTGTCCTGCAGAACGTCTCCTAGACTCTTCCATGAAGAAGGAACCCTGTAAGACTGAGTTCAGCAGTCACTTTTCTGTGGGTCCTGCATGTCCAGATTATACAACAACAGTCAAACAGTCTAGGCAAGAGCAGTTTCTTGCCCAAATGGCTAATCTTGCCATGTTGAAAGCAAACTCCATAACGAGTTTCTTCGATGCCCATCTTCCTCTCAGACGTAATTGGTGCTGCCAGGAGCAGACATTGTCAAGAAAAACCCTAAACCATTTTAAATGCCATGTTCTGAAGGTCTTTGAGAGGTTTGAAGACTGTCCATCTCAAATATATTTCTGTATATCTAGAAAACCTAACTTATGTAACTATAAATTCTATTATAAGTAACTATCTATAGTCTGTATTCAATTATGCATTACGTTGTAAAAGATCAGTATAAGCACAATACTTAATCAAGAGGAGAAATATAACCATCACAAAATTGACCTTGATTTTGTCTCAATAAATGAAAAACAATACCCATACCATAATTCCCCTTTTTACCATTAAAAAAGATTGGCTGTGATCACTAGCCAATTATAAACAATCCCATTTAAATGAAAACAAAGATTTATAAACAAGATGGGAATTGGGACATCGCTCATTCCAAACTGCTTCCTGCTGGAAGGGGGCGCTGTTCATACCATGGGGATCATGACAAAACTCAGAAACCTGTATAAGTCCTTATTTTCGTGGTCTGTAAAGCTGCATCATCTTAGCTGTCTCAGTTGTTGGAACACCTGGTCCACTGCTTCCAGGGGTCTTGGTTCGTGAAACCACAGAAGCCTGGAAGGAATTCTCAGCTTTTCAATTTCTGTAGAAACATAAATAAAAACTCCTTTTCCAAGTAACATATCCTTATACTTAAATTTTGAAGTCAAGGCATTTTTAAAAGATAGAACTTGGATTAATTCAGCAGCATTTATAATCAAATGTACTTTAGCAGCAGTTCCTTCCTGAGCAAGCAAAAAACTGAAAAACACAATAGCGTACAGTATCCAGACTCTCTGTGTATTTTCCATCTTTACGTGGCTTATTTATTTATCTATTATTACTTTATTTATTTTACTTTTATTTATTTTTCTTTGAGACAGGATTTCTCTTTGGAAATCCGCCTGCCTCTGCCTCTGGAGTAAATCTTACCGGCATGCGCCACCACAACGCCGGCTTTTGTATTTATATACCACTTTGTCATTTCATTTTCTCTCTCAATCTCACGTATATTTTTAAACAGACTGTAAACCTTTAGAGGTTTTGTTCATCCAAGTCTGACTTTACTGTAAATCTTTATGTTTTTCTGGCCACATGTCTTATCTGTAAAACCGCGGCTGTTTTAAACTGCTGTTTCAAGATGGCGGGCGTAAGCGTGATTCCAGCTTACCGCCTCAGTCCATGCTGACATCCAGCAAAAGCTGCCACTTCCAGCTGTACATACACACCTTTCAATCGTTAACAGAGTCTCTTAAAACAACCTTGCTGTTTTTTTTTTTTTCTTTTTATGCCGAGTCAGGAAGACTCTGGTAAGCGAGCCACGTGAATCTCGGCTTGTGGCTAGCAAAACAGAGCACACCTGAGAAAAATGCTGCTACCAAAAATCTGTGCTTCTCTCCGTTCTTCTGTTTCTAAAATTCCTTTAAAGCTTTTGTCATTCTACGTGGAAATTCAATCCCACTAAACTCAGCAAAGAATACTGGACTTATAGATTCCTGTAGAAGAATGAATAGCTACCCTGAGGACCATCAAACAAACAGTATCTCACTGTGTGGTATCAAAGTCTAAATCTCTCTATATTGTTTTTTCATAGTACCCTTTTATCTTTATTTCTTCACATACCTCAGTTCCCATTCATTTAACTGAAGCTGGCTTTGGAGTTGGATTGGCTCTCCTACTCTAAACCCAAGCATATTATTTAAATACAATTCAGAATTTCTGTATTATATCAAAGAGCCATTGATATAAGACAGAAGAAATACAATGAGGGACTGTTATCTATGGATTTCTTTTTCTGAACAGTCTAATTTCCTCCAGGTTTTCCATCTTCCCTATTGTCACCTCTTCTGTATGCATACATATGAAAGTTAAAATATTTCTTTGTTAACAGTAATGTTTGAGTTTTCCAGAGAACAAGGGATTTCCTGACAGCAATCTTCAACTGCTTCAGAAAGAGAATGAGGATCCACTTCCTTGACTTCACCTGATTCGACTGGAGGCATCTGAACTGTCCCACATCATTGACTCCACCTGACAAGCACTATCCTGAAAATGGCTTGAAACTACATCACTCTACACAACTCCGGACCAAGAAACTGAAACAGCACATCTTCTACAATCTGGCCAGAGCTTCAAGATAAGAGCTTCAATCAACACTAGAACCCCAGCCAGGAACTTCAATCAAGCATTTCCTGCCATACAGAGACTGTCTGATCTACAGAGATTTTGTTATACTAACATTTTCTTTTCACAGGTCCCCATGAGATTATCATCGTCCCATCTCAGCAGGAAGTAGTTTTGAGAATTCCATGCCCCCTCTCCCTACTATTGATATTATAAGATAGTTTACACCTGTTAGTGTTAGTTTTCAATTATTTTAGAGTTGGGATTGGAAGGAGGTGTTCATATTTGGGTGTTTCTTTCAGATAAGTTTAGGTTTAGATAGAAGTTTGATACATTTTGTTCATGGACACAAGTTAGTTGTCCTTTTTTAGACTAAAAGGGGAATTGTAGGAGGAAGTCTGATGCCGCCATTAAACATGTGACTTATTAGAGGCGCATACAGATGAGGTAATAAAAGGGCTGTTTACCACACCGCTAACCACACCCACTTTAGACAGGACTAAAGACGTATACGGTTGGACGTAAAGACGTATACGTATGTAGGCGGAACTACATCACTAGCCAGGCCCACTTTTGGGCATGGTTAGGGGCGTTACGGGGGAAGGCATAAAAGACAGCACACAGGAAGTCTCGCTCTCTTTTCCTGGAGTTCGGCTTCCGGTCCGGCCGCTAGCTGAGAACTGTTTGGCTCCTCTGGGTTTGGTATCTTGTGAGTAATTTTCTACATTAAATACTTAGCTTTACTGTCAGTAATTGTGTGTCGCGTATCGTTACAGCGTCCGTTTAGCCTACAATGATAAGACAGCATTCATTTAATAAAAAAAAAGAAGCCAGCTCAAACTGTTGTGTGATACGTTGTTTAAGAGTTGGGGTTACCTCAAGTCTTCTACCAGATTCCCTGGTTCTTTTATTTTGTGCCAGAATGAAGTTCAAGATTCCTTGTCTGTTTGGAAGACTGTACATGATCTGTTACTCTCTCTTCTTCCCACCACCATCTCTGTAGTCTCTCCAAGCCAAATGCCAATCATACAAACTATAAACTCCTTACAAGCACCAAGATTCCCGGCTTCTGGGTCACTTACATGACAGCTGAGTGTCTGGAAGAGCCATTCCCATTTCTACTTGGCTAATTCCAACTCTTCTAGTTATCTCAGCTTAGATTTCTACGTCTTTTTAAAAGCTTCTAAGATCATGTTAGGTTTTTCATCAATGTGATAAGTACCAAAGAAAAACCATTTAAAAGGAGGAGGGATTGATGTTGGGCTGATGACAGAGGTTTCAGTCCACAGTTGTGTGGCTCTGCTATCTAGGCCTATGGGGAAGTAGAAACTATGGCAAAGGGCACAGTGGCACAGTGCTGCTCACCTCATGGCACCCTGGAAACAGAGCAACGGACAGGAAGTGGCTGGGGCAAGAGGAAGCTTTTAATAGCATATCCCCACTAACCTACTTCCTCCAACCAGGAACCCTCTGGTAGCTTCTTTGGTATAAACGCACCAATAGCTGAAACCATTGTTAGAGTTAGCACCCAACAGCCCACGTTTCTCAATGACTTGAATCACCAAAACAGAGTGTTGAATACATGAGCCTTCTGAGTGGTTCTCAATGTGTGGGTCATGACCCCTTTGGGAGTCTCATATCAGATATCCTACATATCTGATATTTACATTAGTATTCATAACAGTAGCAAAATTACTCTGTTTAGAGTCCTTTATACACTTGTGCCTCCATTTCATGTCTCCACAGTATGTATCATTCAGATTTATTCTTTTATGCTTCCCATTAAGCTCAAATCATTTCAATACACAGCTGAATCCATTAAGACATACTAGTTAAAAACAACAAAAACTCCCTTGAACTTACCCAAGTCAGGCCAGTCTCAGAATGATGGACATTTCGGAATAGGTCGTTCTTGGAGGAGCTATCTGGTGTTTCACAGGATGATTGACAGCATCCTTGCCCCTGACCCACTAGATGCTAATCACACATAATCCCTTCAAACGTGACTCTTGTGTCTCCAGGTGCTGCTGAGTATCCCTTAAGAACTAAGTTGCTCTCATCTGAAAACCATGGCTTTAGGAACCCAGAAAGCACACTTCCGGTTTCCCCTAGAATCTAGACAGAGGGAGTGGAAAAAATCCCCATAGATTAGGTGTTGTAGGAGTGTTTTATTTGTGAAATACATAGAGAAAGGTGCAGATAGTGGGATCTGAAATCCAGGGATTAGGCAGGAAGCCTGGGAAGCCTCATGGTGGAGAAGGGCTTTAACCTGTTGGGTGTGGACAGGAAGTGACACGGTGATAGCAGATGGGGCAGCTATGGGAACAAAGGTGTTAAGGGTGGACGTTTAAGACATGAAGAGTGGCCTGTCCATTGTATGACCGTGAAGAAGGCTGTGTGATAGGGGGAGGAAGTTTGAGGCTATACATTCATTGTTTCCCTCTATTTTTTTTGTTTGTTTTATGAGACAGGGTTTCTCTGTATTGTTTTGGAGGCTGTCGGTCCAGCCCAGCCTCGAACTCACAGATCCGCCTGCCTCTGCCTCCCGAGTGCTGGGATTAAAGGTGTGCGACACCACCGCCTGGCTGTTTCCCTCTATTCTTTTTTTTAATTATGAAGCTGTTGGCCTTGCTTGTGTCTTACTGGCTAGCTCTGACTTAAGTATTTATCCCATAATTGTTAATCTAAGTATTTCTCATCTTACTTCTCTGGCGGGCTACATGGTGACTCCCCCTCTATTGTTAATAATGCTTCGGTAACCTTTTCATTTGACAAATTGATTCTTTTTTACAGAACTAAGATCGGAATAACAAAAAAGATGGTAGGGTGTTTTACAGATTGCTATGTTAGTGCTGAAGAACAAAGGGATGGCTGAGATGGAGCAGAGAGACATTATGTCATTAAAGCATGAAAAAGACAATTCGGATTCGTATGTGCTTTGCTGCTGCGAAGTATTTTCCCATGTGATCTTGTCTTGATACACTTGGGAAATGAATCATAACTCTGGAATGTCCCTCGACAGTTTTCCTATAACTGGGGAATCTGATTTTTGATGTTTTATGCTGAGCTTATGGATGTTGCATCAAGGTTTGCAAGTATGATATGGGTAGTAGATATGATAAGAGCACAAACTTCTGGCCAGATGAGACATAAGTTACTTTTCAAGGGGGGATAGCAATTTCTTCTCTTTTGCAGTGACTTGAATGCAGACCTGGCAAGAGCGTAAGGAGCCATTTGGCCTAAACTGAAAACTCACACTGAAGAAAGTAGAGCAGAAAAAATAAAAGAAGCCTGCTTCCATAACGCTGAACAACAGGAGCCAGCATTGTTTTTGGACAAAGGACTATATAATAATAAATTTCTGTTTTGTGGACTTCATAGGTCTTTGCCACAATGAGTCAATTCTGTCATTCAGAGTGATGACTGTCACAAGAGTTTATGTAATTAGTGAGTTCTAGTATGTTTCAACCTGTGTCCTACTGTGACTATATAGACAGAGACTAGGAATTTCTTTTGAGGCAGATTCCCATGGGTCATATGTCTCTGGTTGGCCTCAAACTTGCTAGGTAGCCAAGAATGACCTTGAACTTCTAATCCTTCTGCTTCTGTTTCCTGAGTGCTATATGTATGTACCACCATGTCCAGTTTATATGCCAAGGAGTGAACCCAGGGCTTTGCACATGCTACCTAAGCACTCTACCTGCTTACCCACATCTCAACCCTGAAATCTGAGTTTCTAATAACTTTCCTACATCCCCCCTAAATTACATGACTTTCACTTTACTATTTTACTTTTTGCTGTGGTAGGAATTGAACCCATGGCCTTGAACATACTAGGCAAGCACTCTACAACTGAGCCCATTTCCACTGATTTCAACCGTTTAAAAGTGATGTGCAATTTTTAATTCTAAGACTGTACCGAAGTAGACAGGTACTGTACGCTGGCTAGCCCCAGATGTGGAACATCATCCTGTCTCTGAGGACAACTTTGCCTTGGGCTTATTTACAGGGGACAGACATTTCTCTGTAGGTCAGAATGAAGCTTCCTGTGACTCAGCAGAACTGAACGCTGACATAAGGAAATTCAAATCCCATGCAGCAGCAGCTGGGGCTCCACCCATTAACAATCCAGACCAATCCTGTCTGGGCTTTGGATGCTTCTCTGGTTTTTGTGGTTTTCTGCCTAAGGCTCAAGGCTGCAACTGCCATTGAGGATCTTCTTCAGGATACTAGAAACTGGAGCTGTAAATAGAGTATGGGAAATTTGTTTTTCCTTCCATGTGCACATGGCATCCACACACACAGAAACAGTCTCTCCCCACCCCCCTTTCTCTCTCTCTCTCTCACACACACACCAAGTAACTGCAGAAAAGGGTTGCTTTACTCTATATAGACTATCAGCACTTTCATACAATCCAATGTATGATAAAGATTGTGCCAAATCAGTTTATGTTAATGTAATAGGACATCACTCATGCTTATAATTTCCCAATAGAACAAATGCTCTCTGGTTCCTTTTTTTTTTTTTGAGATGATAAAGGACAGTCAAATAAGATTTTCTACCTTATAGACAGCATTTGGATATTAGGCATCACTGTCGAAAGTGTCAGTCTTAGGAGATATACCTTACTTTAACACTTCAGCAAAAACCAGGCACATCCGTGCTGTGCCATGAGGGACCTGTGAGCCACAATCCCAGCTCTGCTCCTTTTGGTTTTGATAAAGACCTTAATATTGACTTACTCACTGGAGTCACCAATACTTACCTCCTAAGCAAACAGAACTATGCATATAGAACACTGGCTGCTTCTTAGTAAGAAACTAATGTGCCAGGCACAAGGCTATTGTCCATTGGCTGATTGTACAGTAGAGGACAGGAAAGATGCCAAACATCACTCAGCCACCTTCGCCCAATAACAAATACAGCAATGGAGCCATGTCCCAAACTATAATCTTTTGTAAGATAATCACCTGGGTCTTTCCTTGGCTGTTGAACTCAACTTTCTTGAGTCCATTTGCTAGAAGTCCACCACCATACCCCAGCAGAGAAACACCAAGGAAAACAGGCTTTGTTCTGTGTGGCTGCTCTCACATACCTTATTCAAGCTAGTCTCCCTCTGATCAATGCTTAGAAGGTCAGTATGGCTGCTTACCAAGGTGTGTCTCCCTGGTAGCCCTTGGTGGAGTCTGTAATGGTCTTATTCAAGTCTAGAGCTCCAGCCTGGACAGGCGGAGTATGAAAGCTTAAAGGTTAAACACACCTCTTCTGTGAAGGCTGTGAAAGTCTCACCAAAGAGCTTTTCTGTGCTCTGGGGAGGAGAGAAAAGATACAAACCAAAACCATATAATCTGGGGGACTCAGTAAATACACACAGCCTGTCCAAATCACCAATTTATTAACATACTTACTAAATGATCAATAGGATTGTACTTCCATGAGCTAAAAAGTTTTTATTTAGGGGCACAATTTGTGTGTGTGTGTGTGTGTGTGTGTGTGTGTGTGTGTGTATGTGTATTTTGGGTTTTTTTTTTGCCTTTTTTTTTAAGTCCCCCCCCCCCGCACAGCAATTGCTATTTGTTGCTGAATGTCTGCAGTCACATGCTCAACTTCCTGTTTATAAACTCGCCTTGTTTTCTGTGAGTCAGCAGTTCCTGCCCCACACAGAGGCACGGCAAGGCTGTGTCAAGGCTCCAGAGGTCCAGGGGGGTTTTGTGAATGGCCTAAGTATGTTGGGCCTTCCCTTGAAGGGAACAAGCTCTCTCACCAAGTGACTGCAAAGAACTATAATTAGTGAGTAGGGTTGTCGGTTTGTCACCTAAAGGCTGGACCACTGCCAAAGATGAACAAAGCCAGCCACTGTTTGATTAAGGTGGCAAAGACAGATTTTAGCAAGGAGCAACTACTGCAATAAGAAAAAGGTGTTTGTATAGAGATGCTGTGAGGATTTCTCTGCCTGGGTTGAGAGGAGACTAAGCAACATCTATCTACCATCTTCCAAGGTCCTGAAGATGAGCCAACGTTTAGTTCCACCCAAGTTTCCCCTAAGGAACTAACAAGTTACAGAGTGTGGGTGACAGGTTGCCGACGGGAGTGTGGGTGCCCCTGGGTGCCCCCCCAGGAAAACCAGCCACACTTGAACAGCTTCACTTTGCATGGGTGATGGCTTTGAAGAGACATTTCTGACTTCTTAGTCATAGCAGCTCAGGTCTTCAAGCACCTAATGAAGGAGACACCAAAATATTTTGGGAGAAGGCTCCCTCCTGGATCCAGGATTAGGCACAAACTACACCCAAACACCTCTTTTCACAGAGAGATCCTTTGTTAGGTAGAAGAAAAGTTAAAGGGGCTGCTTTCTGACTCAGGTGGAAAAACAGCAGCCAATGGCCTCACAGGTGTCATTCTTAAGAAGAGAAAAAGGGGAGGCCTGTGTTAGAATGGGAGAGGATGCGGTAAAGGAGACAGAGGATGAGGGAGAGGGGGAAGGGACAAGGGAAAGGGCTCGGGGATACTTGGGGGGGCAAAGGACTGCGTCTGGATATGACAGATGTGGTGCATGAACAAATGGCGGTTTATAAAGGTAAAATGGGGAACCCCATGTTAGGATGAGGGGTGGGTATGTTAACTAGGTGAACCAAGGGGGCTCTGATTGGTTAACATCTATACTTTGGTGACTGGCCCTTGGTGGTTCCCCCTCAGGAGGAGGAAGTGAACACATAAGGGGACAGACCATGATGGCTAGCCGCAGGAATGAAATCTAACAGTTTAGCAAGCAAGAGGGAATAGGGAGAAGGACAAGGCCTGCCAGGTCACATGCTCAAGTGCTCAAGTCACATGCTTGCTCCCGTGACAAGGCAAAATGTGACCCCGGTTTTAGACTTCCATGAGAAGTCCCCCAGTTCCCTACTCTGTTACCCAAATCCACCACTACCTTACCTTGGTTCAAAAGGAGAAGAGTTAGTCACTACTTCGGGAGGGGGAAGGTTGTAGTGTAGAAGACATTGTGACACTGGACGTCGTTGTGGTTTGTATTAGTCACACACTTTGCATCATTGTGCCCCAAACCCGACTAAAAAATTTCCAGAGGAAATATTAATCCCAATTTCCTGTTTCAAAACGTCTTTTATGTAGCCAAGCATAGTGGCACACACCTTTAATCCCAGCACTTGGGACGCAGAGGCAGGCGGATCTTTGTGAGTTCAAGGCCAGTTTGGTCTATAGAGTGAGTTCAAGGACAGCCAGGACTACATATAGAAATCCTGCCTCGAAATATGGAACAAGACAAAAATGGCAAAAAGGAAAAGAAAATGTGGATTACTTGTATTCCCTGTGAGAAAATACCTGAGACAATCACCTTAACAGGAGGGAGCATTTCTTTGGCCTGTGGTTACACACATCCGTGTGTAGCCTTTAAGCACTGTGTTCAGGTGAAACAGAATAGCAGGCCATGGCAGAAATTGCTCACTATTTGACAGCCATGAAGCCAAGAGAAGACAGAAATGAACTGGGGTTATAGTACCTCCCTTAAGGACACACACTGAGTGATCTAGTTTCTATTAGGCCCCGCCTATTAAGGGTTCCACCCAGCAACCCCAAAGGCTGAAGACACAGGGGCCTCTGGAGGGACCATCAGCATTATAGCACTGTCTGAAAAGTTGAGTGCAGGAGGGACCTTGGTAGCCGCTTTTTGGAGTTCAATACACATTTCTAGTGATTTTTTTTTAGAGTAAGTGAAGGTACTGATGAGTGTTTTTAAAAAAACCAATAATGGAACAGGTTACTTAATGAAGCGTGGCATTGAGACCTGAGTCCATATTGCCTTTGAGAAGTTTAGAAAATGTATTTGACCCAAACTGATTGAAATAGAGGTTTCATGAATCTAAGAATCTATGGGTCTTGTGATGTTAGCTTAATAAAAGGTATTACTATACTTCATGGAAATGGGGGGAAAATGCATACACACACACACACACACACACACTCCACTATACAGTGCATATGTGCATACTTAGGTTAATAGGATAAGAAATGAAATGAAGATCAAGAAATACCCTTTAATAGAAACTTCATCTCCTTCCCTGCACATTTATGGCCCTCACTAGTTCCCCTCCACGCTGCCCATTCCGAGTGATGTCACATCCTATACCGTGCCCAGGCCACCATCAGATCACTTCACGTTGGATGGAGTTCTCTGGAGGTATACGAGGCCTAGACCCAGGCAGGTTTGAACACTGAGTCCCACCACTTCCCTTTGCATTGGAGCACCATGAAAAGGAAAGCAGTGTGTTTTCGCTCTCCTCCCCTAGAGCTTTCCGAGGACCGCCGAGATGGACCTTTCCTGCTAAGGGCAGGGGTGCCTCACAGAACAAAACCTTCTA